CTAAGTTTCTATGGGTAGAGAACCCAGAAGATGTCAATAGTCCTGTAGTGACTTTCAGATTCTCTTCAGTTCTTTTCGGCGCGACAAGCAGTCCATTTCTGTTGCAAGCAACTCTAGATACTCATCTGAAGAAATCATCAAGTCCCTGTAAGACTGAAATCAGTCAAAATCTATATGTAGATAATTTTCAAGGGACAGTTAACAGTACTACTGAACTGTTACAATTATATCAAGAGGCCAACAAGGAGCTACAAGGTGCCAACATGCCACTACAATCTTGGGCCTCTAATAATGCAACATTGAATAATCAAATAGCAAGAGATTACCCTGAATATCACGTACCAGAATCACAAAAGGTGTTAGGTATGGATTGGGATTTAATCTCGGACACAATATCGATCAAATCTGTGCCAGTAAATTACAACATCACTACAAAAAGGGATTTGCTTTCACAAGTTAGCAAAGTATTCGACCCACTTGGTCTACTAAATCCTTTGACTATCAAGTGGCGTTTATTGGTGCAACAAGCATGGAAAGCTAAGGTTGGTTGGGATGATCCACTACCAATCCAGTTACAAAAAGCTTGGATGGAAGTGGCTCAAGAACAAACTTTAGTTGAAAAGATAATCTTTCCGAGACACATAGTCGAGGAAAATGAGGAAGTATCACTACATGTATTCGCAGACTCGTCAGCCAAAGCTTTTGGAGCTTGTGCTTACTTAGTGACTTCTAATCAATCATATCTTATCACCTCTAAGGCCAGAGTCGCTCCATTAAAAAAGAGGACTTTGCCTCAGATGGAACTAACAGCACTGCTAACTGGTACACGCTTAGCAGTGCATATCAAACAAGTCTTGTCTACCATGAACATCAAAGATGTCATTATATGGTCTGACAATGAAGCTGTCTTACAATGGGTACGAAACGACAACTGTCCAACTCCATATGTAAAAAATCGCGTCTCGGAAATTAAAGAAATTTCCGCAGGCTTTCAATTGTTGCATGTACCAACAAAGGATAATCCAGCTGATCTCTTATCAAGAGGTATGACATTTAAACAGTTTGCAAAGGCAGATATTTGGTTTCATGGGCCTCGATGGTTAGTGAATGGTAGTTGGCCTGAACAAAAGCCACACGTCATTACGACACAAACCATAACTACCACCAGGCAGCAAGCTCAAATATCAGTCTTGGATTGTACTCGTTACTCCTCGCTCATCAAATTAATCAATGTAACACAGAACGTGTTTCATTATCTCAGGAAAAAAGGTATAAAATACACTTTTCCTGATGCACTTATCTATTGGGTAAGACAAGCCCAGAGAGAAACTTATGGGAATAACTATGAAAATCTTCCGCATAAGTTAAAACACAATCTCGGTCTGTGGATAGACCAAGAAAATCACAACATTCTGCGTTGTGGAGGGAGACTTAAACACGCAGATATCAATCTAGATACCGTGCATCCATGGCTTTTACCAAAAAATCATTGGATCACAAGGTTGATTGTGTTGCATACACATCAACAAATCATCAAACATGGAGGAGTGTTAGACACACTCACACAAATCAGACAGCAGTACTGGATTCCTCAGGGAAGACAGTCAGTCAAATCAATCTTGAAGAATTGCATGATATGCCGAAGGTACGATGCAAGAACTTGCTCTTATCCAGGGCCACCACCCCTACCAAAGGAACGAGTGGTCCATCTACAACCTTTCGAAACGACAGGAGTAGATTATACAGGAGCAATATATCTAACAGGGACTGCAGATAAGCAACCTATCAAGGCATACATCTGTCTGTTCACCTGTGCTACCACCAGGGCAGTACATCTAGAGGTAACACCCGATATGACTGCTCAATCATTTATTCAAGCTTTCCGCAGATTCGCAGCACGCCGATCATGCCCTAAGCTGATGATTTCAGATAACGGAGCAAACTTGGTAGCTGGAGAAGCATGTCTACGGGAAATCTGTTCCCATCCTGCAGTTACTTCCACACTGGAACAGCGTCATTGCAGATGGAAATTTATCCCTCCGAGAGCCCCATGGCACGGAGGATTTTATGAACGGTTAATAGGAACTGTAAAAAGATCCTTGAGAAAATCTCTACACCGTCAGAAAATCAATCTTCAAGAACTCCAGACAGTAATCACGGAAATAGAATCAAGGGTGAATAACCGGCCGTTGACTTACTTGTCTGAGGATCCTACTCAACATGAGCCATTAAGTCCTGCCCACCTAATGTATGGAAGACTTCTGACTCCAGTACCATCTCTAGTGGATGATGAGATCAGAGATCCCTCATATGTGGGTCAGAGCGAGTTGGTTCAGGGGTATAAGCATCTGTCCAGCATAATCCAAAAATGGAATGATGTTTGGACAAAAGAATATCTTACATCTCTACGAGAACATCACTATGGGGCCAATGTCCCACATAATATAGCTAATCTCCAACCTGGCGATATTGTCTTGGTAGACAGTGATGGCCCTAGGGCTGACTGGCCATTAGGTAAAGTTGTCTCAGTCCATCCAGATAGTCAGGGGATTTTGAGAATAGTCAAAATCCTGTCTAAAGGAACAACTTCCCTGAAGACATTGGACAAACTCATCCACATGGAATCAGTGAGCCAGCTGCAGTTAGATCCTGAGAGACCTCAAGACACTCTAACTCCACAAGACCCACAGACTCCTAACAGACACAATCGTCCACAAAGGACAGCAGCACAAAAGTGCAAGCAAAATTTGCACTTGTATTATCAATCCAATGGAGAGTAAATAAATACATATGGTTACTATTGTCCTAAGTATTGGACTCTGTGCCAGTTCTCTCCCTCTGGAAGATGTGGGAAATTTTTACCCACCATATCTAATAATCATCTAAGAAATGTATAATTTCTATATCATATCTAAATCATATCTAAATCGTATCAACATCATATTTGAATCATTAAAGATTCATTATATAGCTTGATCCTGGATGACAATGGCACCATGAACACGTACGCAACAGGGGCCCTTTTGATGCCTACGTGACTTTGTACATGATCTTTCAAGGATCCAGAAGCTTCTAGAAGGACTTCTTAATTAAAAAACTATTGGAACATTGATTCAACATCCGGTAGGATTAAAAATCGAATCCTTAATAAGAATCAGTGGTACTTTCAAATACTACTTATAATCTTTAAATCTTATATCTAATTATATTATAATCACATCTTATCTTAATCATAAGTCTAGACTGTAAAAATAATCAATCAATATTCATTGAAAGTTACCTCTCAAGGGAGAGGGAGGAGCATCTCGGGGGGCGAGAAGCGCCCACGACGATGCCTCGCGGCACTCCGCGTTTGTTTACAAATGAGTGAACAAGTGACTGATCCTTAGCGAACATTACCAGCTCAAGGACACCTTATTTAACATTTTTATCGCCAGTGAATACTCTCTAGAACTGGGGGAGTACCTGGACAATATCTACAAGGAAAATCCTAGAACATTCACATAAAATAGAGTGTATAGTGGAGATCAGTGACACGGTTTCCTCCACCTTCATTCATAAACTTTTAATCTCGAATCATTCTTCTGCAACTGCAGGATAATCACGTAGCAACGCTACCAGATCATCATACAGCAACGCTGTAGCAAAATATCGTGCCTAAACTCAACAAGAGAGTTAATCAGTCTGGCAAACTTGTCAGACAGGCACCCCGACTGGCAGAGAAGTATATTGAAGGTTATTTGGTATATGATTGGCCAATTGTATGCTTGTGTAGCTTTAATATCCTATAAATCTGTCTGTTGGTTAAAAAGCGAGGCTAAGCCTCACATTTCGGTACGTTTATTAAAATTGTAGTGTAGCTGTGAATCTTATCCAAGCACTGAACCTCATGAGTGTCCATTCTGTCAGAAAAGAATTCAGCCTCAATAAGTAAAAACCTCACAAGTGTCCATAGTGTTGGAAAAGATTCAGTCAAGCTAACTGTATAAAGTGAATATGTCTGCATATATATTTGAATATATAAATTAAGTTATCAATTGCTTGCTTAGTTATTTTTAAGTTATCATATAAGTTCATTTAATTGAATATAATTTCTAGTACTTAGTTAAGTGTATTTAGACTACATTTAAGGTCATTTATTATACTTTTACAATTTAATTTGTTGTTTATAGTATAAGTACATATTGGCTGTTAAGTTATGGTGCTAGGTTAGACTATGTATGTTTAAATCCCTGATTTAAACAGAGCCAGTGTTCAGTCAGATAACTGAATTTATCAAATCTTATCCTTGTATAAAATACAAGCTGATGTGAGATCCCTGTCTACAGGTGGATTGGAACTTCTATCAACATAGTCATTCACCCCACCTGTCCCTTACAGCCCACAGTTTGTCATTAGGAAAAGAGGATCTAGGATTTACAACCCTAGCTAGAGATTTTAGTTGAATTAATTTGCAGACAGTAAATTTTTAATTTAGTTCAGTACAAGTCCCTGGTAGTCTCCTCTTATATCAATCCCAGCAGGTTTTTCCCACATGTTCTAGCATTTACTTTGTATCAGCACTAAGAAGAGCAATCAAGCTACCAAAAATTCATGGTAAAGAAACTAGTAATTATTGAAGGATTTATTCTTGTAGAAAATAAATCCTTCAATAATTACTAGTTTCTTTACTAAGAATTTGGTAACTGGATTGATCTTCTTAATATTGATACTAAAAAAATATTAGCACAGAAAACTTACATTATAAGATCAACAATGCCAGCAAAATGCAGCCATACTGAACCATATATGTAAGTGTGTATGTATGTGTGTATAAACAACTGCGTAACTAGCTTCACAAGATTGTTACTTGCTTGGCTAAATGAACTGTGGGGTTAAGTTCCTGAACCCAGTATATGCCCCTTAACCCTTTCCACCACTGCCTATGGGATGGGTATGAGGTGCATAATAAATTACTAAACTAGAAATTATTTTGATGTCCAACAGTAACATCGCCTTACTTTAACATCTGAGGTATCTCGCTGGCAATTCTTCCAAGCTGTGGCAACTGACGAGAACATTCGATTAGGGTGGTCAAACTTGCCTCCTTGTAGCGACAGAAACATGGTAGTGAAGGGCTCCTGAAATATCAATGTTCATGTTAAAACTAACAATATAGCTCTTGAAATACCAACATTAAATTTACCCGAGTACACTCTCTCTCTAGTGGCCTCGGCAGGTACTGGAGACCGGCGGTTTATCAAAGGTCCCTCCATTGTTCGTGAGGATTTTTCCAACTGGATTTGGAACTGAAGTAGTGTCTTTACATTTATGGATTCGGCTTGTGCTTAAAGCTGTTGCCCCCTTCTATGCATTACATTGGACCTTATAAAATACGTAGTCTGCATTTGGTCTAGGTTCGTATCTTGGCCAGGGAAGACTGACTAGGTGCCAGACTAGTTACCCTCTGTTCAATCAGCAGTAATTGGGTTGTTCAACCTGCTCTCTCACATAATACACTGCATTTTGACATCAAAATCCCCAACGGCCTAATACAGAGTCAATAGATTAGGTTAGGTTTGAGTGTTTTAGTACACTAATTTCTGTCCATCGTGGTAACTCATGGAGCATGGACTGGGTTGTTAACCAAATAGTGGGTTATGTTCCAGGGGAAATTAGTGGTTAAGGCTTATCATGAGTTATGGGAAGGGAAAGCTCTCAGCCTGCTAATGCTAACAGGAGGTGGAAGTCATCTATTCATGTATCCACCTGTGTGTAAAAAAAAAAAAAAAAAGTATTGATAAGATTAGCACTTCGATGTCTGGTTTGCAGTGATGATGGTCCTGCGACCCCTAACCATTCCCAGTTTGAAAGTTGACTTAGTTCTGGGATGATTTTTGTTGCTCTGTGTTGAATTTTTTGTAATGTTGATATGTTCTTTTGAAGGTGAGGTCTCTATACTTGGATACAGTAGTCCGGATGGGGCGCACCAGAGACGTGTACAGTTAAATAACTACTTTCTTTTCCTCAAAGTCAAAGGTTCATTTGATTTGTCCTAAGGTTTGATTGGCTTTTTTTCTTACTGCAGCTCCCATTTGTTGTGCAACTTTCAAATGATTGCTGGATCCTAACTCCTAGATCCTTCTCTTTATCAATCTGCTGCAGTACATGGTAGTGTTGTTGATAAGATAGTTGTAATATACATTGTTATGTCCTATATGCAAAGCTTGCATTTTTCAATATTAAAAAGCATTTGCAAGTCTTCTGACCATTTGTAGAGTTTACAGGTATGTAGTTCCTAAAATATTAATGTTAAAACTAATAACAGAAAGCTAAAATAATTTGCATTGATTACTCATTAATCATTTAGAAAAAGTGTAAACATTTCACAAAATCTGTATACATGCTAAATATATTTTTTACAAATATAATATATTTATACCAAATTATCTAAATAAACATACATACCCTAATTTATGCCGACCGCTGAATTTGGCTTTTGCAAATTTCTTCTGTATCAGTTCATTATTTCATTTCATATATATATTTCTGGAGGGAGCCCATTGTGACTTTCAGAAGCTATCTTCCTGAGATTAATTCATACTAAAAGGTCACATCAGCAGCAGCTACTTCTGTTTGTCCTACTGAGGATCAGAAGCAGAACACCTGGCCCCTCACAAAGGAACAGAGAGCAGGTGACAATCTGCTACTTCACCAGAAGAAGCCTCCAGCAGAGCTCTATGTATAAGTGGAGGGTTCATAGAAAACAAATCCTCGGAAACTGCCAAGCAACTACAGCAAATGAGTCACACAGAACAAAGAATTCACCCAAATCAGCTCAAAACTTGTTAGTACTGATTACCACCAATAGGCAGCCTGGCTGCAACCTGCAGCCAGCTTCCCAAGTCAGTTTTGTTCTTGATGTTGGTGTCTCTACACTAACTTGTAGTGCTTCCAGTCACGCCAGCACGTGGGTGGGCCCTAATGCTCCAAGCATAATGCCAGCCTTCCTTGGACTTGCTTGTTCTGTGGGGACCATGTGCTTCAAATTTTAGTTTAGCTTCACCTATGTGTTTTCATTTCAGCTTGTTATGTCTTACTTGTATCAAGTTTGTCTCCTGAGGTGGTCCCTTTCACATCGGCAGTGGAGGTAGTCAGGCCTTCCAGTCCATCAAGGGTTTGGTGCGCTCACTTTCACAACTGCCTCCTTGCCCCAAGCTTTTTCCTTGGGAGATCGCTTTCCTATTTCAGGTGTTAGGTGAAGACTTTGGCTCTGCCCTGAGGCCCTCAGTGGCAGGCTTGCGGGATTGAGGGGAAGCCCGAGGAGTGCCCTTGGATGTCTTTCAGCTGTGATTGGTACGTTTTTTCCCCTTTGCAGGGGGGGATCATTTTTCTTATCCCTTGCCATGTATAGGTTGGATTGTTTGGCTGCAACCCCTTGAGGGTTTTTTCTGGTCTCTATTGGCAACTCTGATTCATCTTTTTTCCAGAGGTTCCTGTCCTCCCACATTGTACCTTCAGTTGTTCTTGCAGATTTGCTTTGGTAACTCCTACAGAGTTCAGATCTCTCTTCTAAGATGGACTCGGGTCCATCTCCTCTTTTTTGCTACAATTTGAGGTCTCGGGCTCATTCTGGCGGGCTGACAACCCTCGCCTTTCCACAGAGTTGGGAAAGGGTTCTGTCGTTCCCGTGCAAACCACCCACACATCAGTGGTAGACTGTCTCTTATAAAAAATAATATAACAGACAGTCATCAAAAAGACAGAAACGTACAGAATGAGAGAGATACCTGCAGAGACAAAGGGTAGACTTGGCAAAAAGAGACAGGAAGAGAGGACAAGAGAAGGGGGATAGTTGAAGAGAGAGGGGGAAAGATGAGATGAGAGGTGAGAGAGAGGGAAGGGAACTATCAGGAGAAAGCACCAAGCCATTACGACTATATGGCAATGGGAAGAATTGGGTACCTCTCTGAGTAGGGTTATAATGGAACTCATGGAACAGCCTACCCTCTACAGCCTAAATCTCAAGTCATTATACTTCCGTTAACTATCCCGATAGAAAAATCCTCAAGAACAATAGGGGGGGGAACCTATGACAAGCCCCCTGGCTTCCTGTCCTTATCGAGGCCACTAGGGAGATATTCCCTATCAGGGTAAACTCAGGTGGCAACAGATCAACATAATGTTGATCCAACGTTGATTAAATGTTACTAGGCTACTGTACCGTATTACCAAATCAATTTTATATTCTAATTCATCAACTTACAAGCCTGATGAGCCAGTTGAGGGTGAATGCTGAGGTTGAATAGTGTGTGCCATAGTGGAAGGGGGGAATCTGGTCGTGTTCCCAGGAATTATACCGCTCCTCGAAGAAGGCCCGCCGGGAGGGGTTCAGAGCTCCAATTGGCTGTGGAAATAAAAAAACGGAAATAATGACTCTACAGCATGGAAGTCATAGGAATAACATTAGAGTTATATGCACACAAGAAATACAGTAACTAACTTCGGAAGAAAAAGGCTCTTGGAAACCACATTAATGATCACTTTCTTTAATATATATATATGAGAGAAATAGCAATTTTGGGTGAAGTTAATAAAGAAGTTTATAGCATGTTCTCAAATAAAATTAAAGCCTATACAGTATATTATATATCTGGACATATTAGAATAAAACTGAAGCTTATGGATGATAATTATGAAGATACCAGGTATAGGTTCTCTTGTTGCCTAACCTTCGACAGATCTCTGTAGTTGGTGGGCTGGGAGAGGTCCAGCTCGTGTGAATCAAAGTTTGTTAGCACCCATGGAAACACCGGGTACTGGTTCAGGTCGTTGTATGTTCGACCTGAAAAATAATTTTAAAATTAGTAGGCATCCATCAGGCTCAGAAGACTATGGAGTTGCACTCTGGTTGTCAGTCTGGAGTGGCCTCTACAGGGCACAAAGCCAGGGTAGGTCGATATGGAGGAAAAGGTGTTACTCATGCAGCAGCTCCTCCAAGGTTGGTCATTTAAGATTGTAAATTTTAAGATTTAAAATTAGAATCACATTGAAGCAGAAACATTGATTACTGTTTGAATACGTATATGTAAGTAATTTTCTCAAGAATATATACAAATAGTTGTTATAAGACAAAACCACAAAGAACACCAATACACTTAATTTGTCTGTCCAGCTGTGTATTTTGTCCTGTGTCTTGAGGGCTTTTATTTCTGTCATTACATGCTATTCTAACCCCTTCTCTCTCACTCAGATCTACAGGAGGGTGGACCATGCATCAACTGTAGGTCCGTCTAATTACCACAAGCTACCACAAGCTACACAAAGCTTCCTGGCAATAGGTTAGTAATGAATAAATATGATATGTTAGGTTAGGCTGACCTGACCTGACCTGACCTGACCTGACCTAACCTAACCTAGCCTAACCTGACCTAACCTAACTTAACCAAACCAAACTTAACCTAACCGACGCTTGGATCGTCGACTTGATTTGGCATCACCAGCTCTTTATTTTCGTCTAATTTCTTTATAAAAAGATACTTTTTCAGATTAAAATTATGTATTTTCGTGTTGTACATTCAGCACCAACATTATAATGAGTAAATATATCATATTTATTCATTACTAACGTATTGCCAGGTAGCTTTGTGAAGCTTGTGTAGCTTGTGGTAGCTTGTGGTAATTAGACGGACCGTTCAACAGGTCCGTGGGTTCAACTGTAATCTACAGGTCAACAGCTAGAAAGATACTGAACACTCTTAATACCGGTAGCATCTTGCAAGAGAAGAGCTGGGGAAGCAGTAGGCGATTTAGGGAGAGTTCAACAGTACTGGAGGAACGGACCCAGCGCATGTCTGCAGGCTAGGTATATTGCAAAGAATTGCACAGACCCCCCAACCCGAAACAAACTATGTCTAAGGTTTCTTATTCTTGATGGCACGTGCAGTTTGCATTAAGGGTTACGTCTAAGGAAAGATGCACGGACGCGCACACGAGGAACAACAACAGATCCTGCCTGACCTGCACAACAATAATGTGGAATGGCAACCCGTCCTCAGACCAAGTCTATTCCATCCAGCAGTCAACCCCCCTAAGACGCATTCATCATTTTTTTAACATGCTGTTCATTCATAACAGGAATTTTCTCAAATATAAATTAATAGTGTTGTATATTAGCATACTATGCATTTTTAGGCATTGATTGGGGTTAGGTTACGTGTTTAGCTTCTGTTGCTGATTATTTGTATTTGTAGTACGTGGGTGAAGCATTTACAGCGTTCTTGTTCAAACAAAAGTCGTCAGCGAAGCACTTGTTCCGAAAGTGTTCGAACGTCATCAGTTGTGAGTCGTGTGTAAACCGTTTTTCATTCATAAACACCTGGGGGTTTGGCGGGTGCATGGAATGGACTTCGGCCTTTGTTTATGAGGACGGGCTGCGTGATAAGTTATGGAGTACTGGTACATGATGAACCCCAAGTGAGACGAGAAGTTAGAAACATCATACTCAAATTGAGCTAGACGATACAAAATTCCTGTTATCTCAAAATCTGTGCTACCTGGCATGAATACCAGAGCCCAAGTAAAATTAAAATAAATTCATGGTGAAACTTCTACTACGGTCCCAGACATGTTGTAAACGGCACTACGCCGTTTACAATAGCAGAAGAGAAGGCATCCGCGAGCCTAAGCAAGGAACAGAACCCAATTCCCAGGTCAGTATCGGAAGACGTGGGTCAGGCGAAGGACGCCCCAAGATCGCTCCCCGGGGAGGAAAATACTACACTTCTCACCCGCAGGGAGAAGTGTCTAGCTGAGGTTCGAACCTCCAAAAATGTCTTATAACCCATGGCAGGGGTTACGTTTAGGAGGTTCGAGCACTGCCGTATCCTCAACATAAGAGATACGAGACACGCAACTCACACGTCTGAAAATAAAGGAACCAACGGATTAAACCATCGTCATTCCTTTATTTTTAGATGGGTGTGTAATTTTCAGCCCCGTTCTTGTAACCCTGCAAGGTATATAGTTCCCGTTTTCCTAGACAGAGGTGGTTCAAGACCGTGTATACCTCATGCATAATTTAATTTTGGAATGTGTGAGTAAAGTCATTAAGTATAATAATAATAATTATAATTTACTTGCAAGAAGGTACAATGGGTTGGTGAGATTACATGTTTGGTATTTTTACACTCGTGCAAAGCCATTAACACGCATAACGTTTCGGGCATGATTGATTGATGAAGATTAAGCCACCCAAAAGGTGGCACGGGCATGAATAGCCGTAAGTGGAGGCCCTTTTGAGCCATTACCAGTATCAAGAGCTAATACTGGAGATCTGTGGAGGTGCGACTGCACCCTGCGTGACGGGAGATGTCTCCCCCGTGACTCTCTGGACTGCTGATTGATTGATTGATAAAGATTAAGCCACCCAAGAGGTGGCAGTTTCGGGCAGGTCTAATATATCAGGTATGATGAAAAGGTACATTGTAGCAAGATTTTATATCAACAAATAACAACAATATAAGTTGACAGAAGTGGTAAGAATATATGTCTTAAGTACTAATATTGAGGAAGCGGGTAGCACAAGATACAGTGTGATGATCAGACCACACACTAGAAAGTGAAGGGACGATGACGTTTCGGTCCGTCCTGGACCATTCTCAAGTCGATTCTCACAATCGACTTGAGAATGGTCCAGGACGGACCGAAACGTCGTCGTCCCTTCACTTTCTAGTGTGTGGTTTGGTCAATATATTTCAGCCACGTTATTGCGACTCTTCGTCTGCATACAGTGTGAGTTTGAAGCACAAGGTAGGAAACCATGAGGATGACATTAGGTAAAACTTTTTGGTTTTACTTAAACTTCAGTAATCTCATTAAGCACAAAACAAAGTTGGAGAAGATCCAGAGATATTCCACCAGACTAGTGCCCGAGCTGAGAGGTGTGAACTAGAGACACACTGGATGAATTAAATAATGCCCCAATAAGGAAGTGGCCATCTAAATTACGGTATCTTTAAAATAGGATAGGGTCACAAATTTTAACGTACTGTGTATTCAAAAATCAGTATTTTCTGAAATATAAATTAACATATTTTAGCATTTGGTGTATAGTCAGGCTAATATTTGTTTAGCTTAGGCGTTTTGGTTATGTTGGTAATTATTTTTAAGTCTATTCCATCCAGCGGTCGACCCCAAAGACGCATTCATCAATTTTAACATGTTGTTCATTCAAAATAGGAATTTTCTCAAATATAAATTAATATTGTTGTATATTATCATACTGCGCATGACGGGCACTGGTTAGGTTAGGTGTTTAAGTTCTGTTGGCGATTATTTGTAGTACGTGGGTGAAGCATTTACAGCGTTGTGGTTCGAACAAAAGTCATCAGCGAAGCACTTGTTCGAGAAGTGTTCGAATGTCATCAGTTGTTAGTAAACCCGCAGCCCGTCCTCCAGACAAAGACCTAAAAGTGATAAAGATTGGTATTTTTTCATATTCCGCTAAACCCGCTGTTTATGAATGAAAAACGGTTTAAACACGACTCACAAGTGATTTCGTTCAAACACTTCCGGAACAAGTGCTTCACTCACTAATTCTGTTCGAACCACAACGCTGTAAATGCTTCACCCACGTACTAAAAATACAAATAATCGCCAACGGAACCTAACCTAACCAATGTCTATATATGCACAATATGCTAATATATTTTAATATTAATTTACAATTGAGAAAATTCCTGTTTTGAATGAACAGCATGTTAAAAATGATGAATGCGTCTGTGGGGTCGACCGCTGGATGTAATGGACTCGAGTCGAGGATAGGTTGTGTGAGAGGTGTGTAAACCGTTTTTACGCACTTTGGCGGGTGCATGGAATCACTTTTGTTTATGAGACGGGCTGACGTAAGTGAAGCATTTACAGAGCTGTGATTCGAATAGCAAACATCAGTTAAACACTGTTCGAGAAATGTTCGAACGTCATCAGTTGTGAGTCGTGTGCAAATATGTCGTAAATAGCAATGTTTGCACTCATAAACAGTGGGTTTGGCAGCTCGATTAACGAGTACTTGCTAATGTTTATGAGGATGGGCTGAGTTTATCAGGACAGTGTTTATGAGACAGCCGGTCCTCAATTCATGTTGTTGTTGAACATGACCACTCAACCCGTGATTGTGATGATGATGAGGATGATGAGGATGATTACCTTCTCGACCTACCACAGAGTGAACAACCACTCGCACAGACATGTACTCACCCGCAATAGTATTTAGAAACATGAGATACTCGAAGTTAGAGATCTCCCTCCTCTGCCACTTCTGGGTCATGTTGGAGGCCCTGAAGAGCTGCCGGGGCGACATCATGGAGGCCCTACGGGTCTGCGGGATGCCATACTTGATCCCGACGCCCACCCTCGGCAGCGCCTTCGCCACCCGCTTCACCGTCGCCTGGTCCGGGAACGTGAAGAACACAGACGCTACGGAAGGAAAAAGTGCATCAATGTACTTCTGCAGCAGTACTGGAGGAGGTGGTACCGAACTCTCTTGTCGTGTGTGTGTGTATATATATTAGTGGTCATACGATCTCTCTCTTTCCGGGCAAAGATGAGCAAAAGATGTTGTATCTAAGTCTGACTGACGTTGACTAAACGTCACTTAGCTTGCTCAAGTCTAACGTCAAATCAACGACGATTAAACGCCATTTGAGTGTTTTATCCACTGGAATTAAGCTCGAGTAACGTTTAACCAACGTCGGCACCAGAATTAAATCTGACGTAAATAAACAAAGACTCCTGCACAAGGCTGTCCAAGCGAGGAGGTGTATTTCCTGTGTGCTAAAACACACAAGAATGTATTTATCCAGCCTCAGCGATGTATCGTGTATCTAATACACCATACAACACTTCCATGTATAACCTTAACAAGACGCAATAATGTATTCATGCAATTGATTTAACCTTAGTAAAGTTCGACAAGCCAAACATATACAGATGCACACAACATATTAGTTTTACACATTATTATTATTATTATTTGAAGAAGAAGAACTAGTAGAGTGGTGAGAATTAGAGGTATGAGGAGAGCTACTGGTGACCAGTGTAGCCAAAACCTGGTGATCGTGCCTTACATAGACAGTGTGGTGGCAACAGTGTCGACTGGAAGCTGTGAATGAGTTTATAGGCACCAGCTGGGGGCTCCACCACGTGAGAGGCACCAGCTGGGGGCTCCACCACGTGAGAGGCACCAGCTGGGGGCTCCACCACGTGAGAGGCACCAGCTGGGGGTTCCACCATGTGAGAGGCACCAGCTGGGGGCTCCACCATGTGAGAGGCACCAGCTGGGGGCTCCACCACGTGACAGGCACCAGCTGGGGGCTCCACCACGTGACAGGCACCAGCTGGGGGCTCCACCACGTGACAGGCACCAGCTGGGGGCTCCACCACGTGACAGGCACCAGCTGAGGGCTCCACCATGTGAGAGGCACCAGCTGGGGGCTCCACCATGTGAGAGGCACCAGCTGGGGGCTCCACCACGTGACAGGCACCAGCTGGGGGCTCCACCACGTGACAGGCACCAGCTGGGGGCTCCACCACGTGACAGGCACCAGCTGGGGGCTCCACCATGTGAGAGGCACCAGCTGGGGGCTCCACCACGTGACAGGCACCAGCTGAGGGCTCCACCATGTGAGAGGCACCAGCTGGGGGCTCCACCATGTGACAGGCACCAGCTGGGGGCTCCACCACGTGACAGGCACCAGCTGAGGGCTCCACCATGTGAGAGGCACCAGCTGGGGGCTCCACCACGTGACAGGCACCAGCTGGGGGCTCCACCACGTGACAGGCACCAGCTGGGGGCTCCACCATGTGAGAGGCACCAGCTGGGGGCTCCACCACGTGACAGGCACCAGCTGGGGGCTCCACCACGTGAGAGGCACCAGCTGGGGGCTCCACCATGTGAGAGGCACCAGCTGGGGGCTCCACCATGTGACAGGCACCAGCTGGGGGCTCCACCACGTGACAGGCACCAGCTGGGGGCTCCACCATGTGACAGGCACCAGCTGGGGGCTCCACCACGTGACAGGCACCAGCTGGGGGCTCCACCACGTGACAGGCACCAGCTGGGGGCTCCACCACGTGACAGGCACCAGCTGGGGGCTCCACCACGTGACAGGCACCAGCTGGGGGCTCCACCACGTGACAGGCACCAGCTGGGGGCTCCACCACGTGACAGGCACCAGCTGGGGGCTCCACCACGTGACAGGCACCAGCTGGGGGCTCCACCATGTGACAGGCACCAGCTGGGGGCTCCACCATGTGACAGGCACCAGCTGGGGGCTCCACCACGTGACAGGCACCAGCTGGGGGCTCCACCACGTGACAGGCACCAGCTGGGGGCTCCACCACGTGACAGGCACCGATTACAGACCATCAGCTGACGACACGGGAGAGGATTATGAGAGGTGCCTGGGCTCCCTAAGTGAATGGTAAGCATACGGGTGAAGACAGGAAGCTGTGAATGAGTTGAGCCGCGTGGGAGTGCCAGCTGGCGGTAGTATACTATGTCGTGGGAGTGTCAACAGGTGCTTGGGGGGTCCTCCTTAGTGAATAGTTAAAGCAGCTGTGCAAGGAGCCATCACACTAGAGTAACAATATCTCCAGCATTCGCGTGTGGGTTTAGATCCTTTGAAGCCTGCACTCACAGCAGAAGAACCTGTATAAGGTCTCTTTGCGGGAGTACATGGTATTCCAAGATGGCTGTGAGAGAAGATTTGGCGAGGTGAAGAAATCGCTGGACAGACCCATAAGGATATCTTTGGTCATTTGTACTGACCAGGGGCTAAGGTTCATGAAGCGTTTATGCATCGTCTTACGAAACCTGTACATGGCGGCTTTGTTTACATGTATTAAAACAGTCTGATGGACTCCGAAAGCACTACGAAGTTGTCCATAAGCAATAATAACCTAGGCTTGTGAAGTTCCCAAGCTCGTGAACTGTTGAAGAAGCGTAAACAAAGCCACCATGGCCAGGGAAAGCTGTACGGGTCACGTAAATGAACCATAAATGCCTTCATGACTCGTGACCCCCGTTAGTTACATAGTGTAAGGCACACCACAGAAGAAGCACACCAGTGGGTGTAGCTGGAGCAGCTACACTCACTCAATACACTCAGGTGTTACACGGGAAGATATCTACGTTAATTAGGGGAAGTTTTGGGCCCACTGGAGCGTTCTGTGGGGGATGAGAAAGTATGTAAGTTGATTAGTTAGGTTAGGGGGGTTACAGGCCAATTGGAGCGTTCTGTGGGAGGGGTCAAAGACAGACCTCACTGGGAGAAAGCAACTTATAAGAGTGCAGAGAACAACGAGAAGGCATTCTAGCAGCATGGGAGGCATTGTATGCCTGACCCCTGACTCACTGTATGCGAGATGAGGATACAAAGGAGAGGGATGAGGGCCTGCTCTCTCTTTGCTCCACCTCATGGCTAGGGGAAAAGGAGGTATAGAAAACGGATTTATTGTTACTATTATTATTGCACAATGAAATCACATTTAAACGTGATTATCAAAGAGAAATCAGTAGGAGCTATGAGAAGGATTCGAACCCGCGCACTTGGGGTCTCCCAAGCACACGCCCTAGACCACTACACCACGACATGATAGTGGGGAGGGGGAGGGAATTCAACGTGGGATTAAACAATGTTCTGGGGGGTTCCCGAGGCTTCCACTGAAGCCCAGTCAGGGTTTCACCCCCCACCCCCTCAAGGTCTCTCACTATGGTCCAGTTCTGCCTCCAGGTTGTGATGCTTTTGCCCATGTCGTGTTATAGCGTGGGCTTGGGAGCACCAAGTGTACTTCCTCATAGCGAATCTTCGAATCTTCCTCATGGCTCCTACTGATTTTCTCATTATTATTATTGCTTCTGTTATAATCAACTAATCAACTTTACTAAGAGTTTTACAAATGGTTGACATATTTTAGATGTTTTTTCCCTCCCTAAAGAACACTGAAATAAATGAACAATGGGTAAATAATTAGCTCACTACTGCATTGCAAATCATATGGTATAACTTGTTCTCTCGCCCAAGACGTTGCATTTCTAACGAAATCAACAAATACATCTAATAACAAATACATCAAATACAACAAATACATCTAATACAAATACATCAAATAAATCTATCAATTTTTGTATCACCTCTTGTATGTATGTTCTTTACCTGAATAAACATTTGAATTTGAATTTGAAATGAGACGTATTAGTAAATATTAGAGCACCGTAATGTTGACGCTTTCTAGGCCACGATAGGTTAGGTGGGTTGCTTGGGTTCGGTCGCTTCTGGTCAGGCAAAACCGTTGCATTTCTTTACGGAGTGACAGATTGTGAGAACGGGCCAGATAACATTACGCAATGAAAGCGCAATTGTGTGCTATATCTATGACCAAATCTTTGTGGCAATGCAATGGACTCGAACTCTCTCTCTCGTCCGGGATCATCCCCCCAGATGTATGTATTTATCAAATAACATGATTCCAACATGCTGGAAACTTCAGAGCGAGTGGACATGTCCCGTACCTCAACAGTTACTAACATACCCAGCTTACTCAACATCTATACCCGTTTCATATTGAAAAACCGTATTTTTCCTCCAAACTACTGCCAGATTCACGAAGCAGTTACGCAAGCACTTACGAACCTATATATCTTTTCTCAATTTTTGACGGCTTTGTTTCTAATTATCAAACAGTTAATGAGCTCCGAAGCACCAGGAGGCTGTTTATAACAATAACAACGGTTGATTGGCAAGTTTTCATGCTTGTAAACTGTTTAATAAATGTAACCAAAGCCGTCAAAGATTCAGGAAAGATGTACACGTTCGTAAGTGCTTGCGTAACTGCTTCGTGAATCTGGCCCTTCGACATTAAACCGAGGTTTTACCTATGACGTTCAACGTCATGTGTTTACGGGCAATTTAATCAATCAATCTTAGCAACCTATGGGCGCCTGACAGCTGAGTGGACAGCGCTACGGATTCGTAGTCCTGAGGTTCCGGGTTCGATCCCCGGTGGAGGTGGAGACAAGTGGGCAAAAGGTTTCTTTCACCCTGATGCCCATGTTACCTAGCAGTAAATAGGTACCTGGGAGTTAGACAGCTGCTACGGGCTACTGCCTGGGTGTGTGTAACAAAAAGGAGGCCCTGGTCGAGGACCGGGCCGCGGGGACGCTAAGCCCCGAAATCATCTCAAGATAACCTCAAGATAACCTATCAATATTCAACGAGAGAGAAAGTCTGTCCAAAGTTGGAGGCCAGATGCTTATGGCTAGCCTCACATAAATTGGCAGGACGAACGGTCTGAGGTATGGGATGGACATAAGCTGCCCGGGGTAGGCCCAAGGTAAATGCTTTAAGAAATATAACCTGTAACCCAACTGCCAAATTTTATGAAGTCTGAAATTAAATTGGGGGTGTTGTTTCCGTAGATTTTACTGTGGAAATAACTGGGGGTAGGGGTCCACCACGTGACAAGCACCAGCTGGGAGCTCCATGTGAGAGGCACCAGCTGGGGGCTCCACAATGTGAGAGGCACCAGCTGGGGGCTCCACAATGTGAGAGGCACCAGCTGGGGGCTCCACAATGTGAGAGGCACCAGCTGGGGGCTCCACAATGTGAGAGGCCAGCTGGGAGCTCCACAATGTGAGAGGCACCAGCTGGGGGCTCCACAATGTGAGAGGCACCAGCTGGGAGCTCCACAATGTGAGAGGCACCAGCTGGGGGCTCCACAATGTGAGAGGCACCAGCTGGGGGCTCCACAATGTGAGAGGCACCAGCTGGGGGCTCCACAATGTGAGAGGCACCAGCTGGGGGCTCCACAATGTGAGAGGCACCAGCTGGGAGGCCCACAATGTGAGAGGCACCAGCTGGGAGCTCCACAATGTGAGAGGCACCAGCTGGGAGGCCCACAATGTGAGAGGCACCAGCTGGGAGCTCCACAATGTGAGAGGCACCAGCTGGGGGCTCCACAATGTGAGAGGCACCAGCTGGGGGCTCCATAATGTGAGAGGCACCAGCTGGGAGGCCCACAATGTGAGAGGCACCAGCTGGGAGGCCCACAATGTGAGAGGCACCAGCTGGGAGCTCCACAATGTGAGAGGCACCAGCTGGGGGCTCCACCATGTGAGAGGCACCAGCTGGGGGCTCCACCATGTGAGAGGCACCAGCTGGGGGCTCCACCATGTGAGAGGCACCAGCTGGGGGCTCCACCATGTGAGAGGCACCAGCTGGGGGCTCCACAATGTGAGAGGCACCAGCTGGGGGCTCCACAATGTGAGAGGCACCAGCTGGGGGCTCCACCATGTGAGAGGCACCAGCTGGGGCTCCACCATGTGAGAGGCACCAGCTGGGGGCTCCACCATGTGAGAGGCACCAGCTGGGGGCTCCACAATGTGAGAGGCACCACCTGGGGGCTCCACAATGTGAGAGGCACCAGCTGGGGGCTCCACAATGTGAGAGGCACCAGCTGGGGGCTCCACAATGTGAGAGGCACCAGCTGGGGGCTCCACCATGTGAGAAGCACCAGCTGGGGGCTCCACAATGTGAGAGGCACCAGCTGGGGGCTCCACCATGTGAGAGGCACCAGCTGGGGGCTCCACCATGTGAGAGGCACCAGCTGGGGGCTCCACAATGTGAGAGGCACCAGCTGGGGGCTCCACAATGTGAGAGGCACCAGCTGGGGGCTCCACCATGTGACAAGCACCAGCTGGGGGCTCCACCATGTGAGAGGCACCAGCTGGGGGCTCCACAATGTGAGAGGCACCAGCTGGGGGCTCCACCATGTGAGAGGCACCAGCTGGGGGCTCCACAATGTGAGAGGCACCAGCTGGGGGCTCCACCATGTGAGAGGCACCAGCTGGGAGCTCCACAATGTGAGAGGCACCAGCTGGGGGCTCCACAATGTGAGAGGCACCAGCTGGGGGCTCCACCATGTGAGAGGCACCAGCTGGGGGCTCCACAATGTGAGAGGCACCAGCTGGGAGCTCCACCATGTGAGAAGCACCAGCTGGGGCTCTTCCACATGACTGTTATCACACTAAACCTGTTTCATGAAGCCCACATGAAAAGAATATCATCAGCAGCATATGCAAGGTGGCCAACATCAAAACTCTCTTCATAAATTTGTGCAAATAATCATTCGAAACATTGTATACCACATATGTCAGACCAATCCTGGAGTATGTAGCTTCATCGTGGAGCCCATACCTAGTCAAACACAAGACCAAGTTGGATAAAGTTCAGAGGTATGCCACCAGACAAGGCCCCAAGCTGAGAGTTATGAGGAAAAGCTACTTGAATTAAACAATCGTTTCTGGAAGACAGAAGAGACATGATTACCACCTACAAAATTCTCAGACGAATTTACAGGGTAGATAAAGACAGATTTTTAGCACGGGCGGTCTGTACATCTTTTCTCAATCTTAGGCGGCTTTGTTTACAATTATTAAACAGTTAATGAGCTCCGAAGCACCAGGAGACTGTTTATAACAATAACAACAGTTGATTGGGAAGTTTTCATGCTTGTAAACTATTTAATAAATGTAACCAAAGCCGTCAAAGATTGAGGAAAGATGTACACTTTCGTAAGTACTTGGGTAACTGCTTCGTGAATCTGGCTTCTGGCTTCTTTTCATACTTTCCTGAAAAGTGTAAACACATGAGAAAGTTTGCCACGAGGATTATGGCAATATTCGGGTCTATCTATCTGTGTGTGTGTGTGTGTGTGTGTGTGTGTGTGTGTGTGTGTGTGTGTGTGTGTGTGTGTGTGTGTGTGTGTGAACAGTTATTTTCCTTCATAACATCAACAAAACCTTGTCAGAGAACAAGGCTGACTGATCGACACTTGTCATTTCTGATCAACGTGGGAACTGTCACAGACCTTTCAGCCAGACAGCAAAAGTTGTCAGTAAAAAGAGGTGTTCAGCCTCAGGCCAAAACGCTAAAAATGACTGAATAGTCGTAAATAAATGTTCATTTTTGAACTGTTGTAATTTGTGTACAATGTATTTGTTGCTGTTGCATAGAAGTCTATGTTAGTTAGTTTAGTTCATTTATTATGCACCCCATACCCATCTTGTGCCGTTTAAAAATTTCGTTTTTTTTTCTTTTGTTAAACTACTTTATTACTTTACATTCGTGAATGTGGCCAGCCGCTAAACTATTTGTATACACATTGTATATTTCTAAGTTTAAGTAATACTTAAATTCCATTATTCTGGAGTTATTTTTATTTATTATTTTGCAAGAATTTTTATTAAATGACTTCAATCAATTGTGGTGTGTGGCCCTCGTGACAACAGAAATATGGCCCAATATGGCCCTCGGGGGACCCTCAGCTTGACATGCCTGTCAGATAGAGCCTACTTTGCTCGGTTGACTGACAGTTGAGAGGTGGGACCCTAAAGCCGAAGCTCAACCCCCGCAAGCACAACTAGGTGAGTACTAGAACACAATCACATGAAAGCACAGGGCGGGTGAATATAATTGTATATTTCGCCCAGAAAAACCAAAGAGGACAGAAAGAACACAGACACACAACCTCACAGAACACAATAAGAATGTTCAAAATATCGAAGAACTTAGAACACACACATAATATCACGGAAAACAAGAACACACACAAAACATCACTGACCACAGGAAGAACACACACACATATATATATATATATATATATATATATATATATATATATATATATATATATATATAAACATTCATGTAACATCACAGAATACAAAAAAAACAGCACAGAACACAGAAAGAACACACACAGATAACATCACAGACCACAGGAAGAACACACCCCAGATAACATCAGAGAGCACACACACGAGAGAACACGTGAAGAACAGAGAGAGAGACAGGAACTCACTGCGAGAAGCCAGGAAGATCTCGAGGGCGGTGTTCTGTAGTAGGTAGCGTCGACTGAAGATGGCGCGCACCTCGCTGAAGTGCCATTTTCCGTGGACGTGCTCGCAGTACTTCACCACCTGTGGGAGAGACAACACGCACGTCAGACCAGGCTCCTTATGTCCACACACACACACACACACACACAAGGCTCATTATTATGTATACACAAAACACACACACGCTAATTGTGTGTGTAGAAGGTTCGAGAGGTGAGGAAGGTTGTAAAAAACTGGCCATTAAAAAAAAAATAAAACCGACTAAAGTCATAACCTAATTCGTCTTTTTTTTTTAACGGAATCGACTAATCCGTTAATAAATGCGACGTATTGGTAACATTTTGAACACCGTAATATTAACGTAAATTTAAATTTTGCCCCGAGGGGCGAGTTTATTGGGCAACGTCACTCATCCTGTGAGAGGACACACCGCCATAGTGACAGTATTGGGCAGCGCCACTCATCCTGTGAGTGGACACACCGCCATAGTGACAGTATTGGGCAGCGCCAATCATTCTGTGAGTGGACACACCGCCATAGTGACAGTATTGGGCAGCGCCACTCATCCTGTGAGTGGACACACCGCCATAGTGACAGTATTGGGCAGCGCCACTCATCCTGTGAGTGGACACACCGCCATAGTGACAGTATTGGGCAGCGCCACTCATCCTGTGAGTGGACACACCGCCATTGTGACAGTATTGGGCAGCGTCACTCATCCTGTGAGAGGACACACCGCCATAGTGACAGTATTGGGCAGCGCCACTCATCCTGTGAGTGGACACACCACCATAGTGCCAGTATTGGGCAGCGCCACTCATCCTGTGAGTGGACACACCGCCATAGTGACAGTATTGGGCAGCGCCACTCATCCTGTGAGTGGACACACCGCCATAGTGACAGTATTGGGCAGCGTCACTCATCCTGTGAGTGGACACACCGTCATAGTGACAGTATTGGGCAGCGTCACTCATCCTGTGAGTGGACACACCGTCATAGTGACAGTATTGGGCAGCGCCACTCATCCTGTGAGTGGACACACCGCCATAGTGACAGTATTGGGCAGCGCCACTCATCCTGTGAGTGGACACACCGCCATAGTGACAGTATTGGGCAGCACCACCCATCCTGGGAGTGGACACACCGCCATAGTGATAGTATTGGGCAGCACCACCCATCCTGGGAGTGGACACACCGCCATAGTGACAGTATTGGGCAGCACCACCCATCCTGGGAGTGGACACACCGCCATAGTGACAGTATTGGGCAGCACCACCCATCCTGGGAGTGGACACACCACCATAGTGACAGTATTGGGCAGCACCACCCATCCTGGGAGTGGACACACCGCCATAGCAACATGTACAACACTCCCCAATAGGAAGAAAACCCGCTGGGTTGTTCATCCTGCCACTTGTACCCAGACACAGCTGGGACTTGCTTAACTGTCTCAAGTGAACAGCTCCTCAAACAAAAAGATTAACATTCGTCAACGGAGTTTATGCATGGAGGAGAGAGAGAGAGAGAGAGAGAGAGAGAGAGAGAGAGAGAGAGAGAGAGAGAGAGAGAGAGAGAGAGAGGGCGGGGGGTCATGCACGGGAGAACAATCTACATACAATTATGACGATGGAGTCAACAGTGTAGGGGAGACGTAACCAGTTTAGGGGGGGGTGAGGGAGGCTGTAAGGCGGGGGTGAGGGAGGGTGTAAGGAGGGGGTGAGGGAGGGTGTAAGGAGGGGGTGAGGGAGGGTGTAAGGAGGGGGTGAGGGAGACTGTAAGGAGGGGGTGAGGGAGGGTGTAAAGGTGGGGGTGAGGGAGGCTGTAAGGAGGGGGTGAGGGAGACTGTAAGGAGGGGGTGAGGGAGGGTGTAAAGGTGGGGGTGAGGGAGGCTGTAAGGAGGGGGTGAGGGAGACTGTAAGGAGGGGGTGAGGGAGGGTGTAAGGACGGGGTGAGGGAGACTGTAAGGAGGGGGTGAGGGAGGCTGTAAGGTGGGGGTGAGGGAGGCTGTAAGGAGGGGGGTGAGGGAGGTAGGGTGATGGGAGAGTAAGGATGATGGAAGGGGAACTAGTAAAGAACACGGATGATGGGGGTTATTAAGAAGACTAACAGAGAAGAGAGAATGAGGGAGAGGGGAGGAGGAGGAAGAAGAAGAGAGGGGAAGAGAAATGTAATGGGGAGGAAGAGTAATGGAAGGATCGGATCCCTTATCCAGACACCACTGATCTCTTAATTCAACTCTAAGGGGAAGAAATGGAAAAGAGAGGGAGGGGGTGTTTGAAAGATGAGGAGTAGGCCTGTGAATAGAGGAGGGTAGGCCTATAAGAGGAAGGTACACCTATAAGCGGAGGGCAGGCCTATAAGGGCAAAGAAAATGGGCCTATAAGCGGCAACACCACAAAGCACGGAAGAGTGAATTCGTGACACCAGTAACTCAACTAAACAGGTAATACGATCTTAATATAGCAAGCGGAGAGGCACGGATGGGAGGGAAGGGGAGAGGAGGGGATGGGAAAGGACGGAGGGGGGAGAGGGGTAAGGGGGGAGAGGGGTAAGGGACACACACATACACACACACACAGTCTGCTGGATCAATACTGGTGACTGGTGGCAAACGCATCCCCGCGCAGACATTTGCGAGCTTGGGCTATCAAGATGGCCGACCTCGTCCCGACCTCCACCTCCTCCTCCACGTCTCAAACTGGGTATACCCGCTCCGCCATACTCGCCCTGTTATACCCGCGTGGTTATACCCTCTCAGTAATACCCGCTCAATAACACCCGATCAGTTATACCCGCGTCGTTATACTCGCTCATTTATATCAACAGATATACCATTTCAAATGTACTTTGCACTGTTATACCCGCTTATTTATATGCGGGTATAACGTCTCTGCTATACCTGCACAATTATACACGGTCAATAATGCCCGTCCAGTGATACCCGCTCAGTAATACCCGCCCAGTGATACCCGCTCAGTAATACCCGTCCAGTGATACCCGCTCGGTAATACCCGCTCGGCTAGGCCCGCCTGATATACCCTATACCCGGGCACATGTTTACCACATACTGTATCAAGGGGAACAACACCTGCAAGCTCCTGTCATTTTCAGATATTTATTATTATAAATCAACGCATTCTTACCAATCCGTTACAAATGAACCGTATTAGTACGCATGAAAGCACTCGTCTGTGTTAACGCATACCAATGACACCCTTAATGTAATACATCTGTTATACAATATGTAATACATCTGTTATACAATATGTAATACATCTGTTATACAATGCATGTACCTATAACCTGAGCTTGTAAAAGCATCTTAAATCACCTTCAGTGGTTAAGTATTTAATATCACACTAGTTTCTATAGAAGCTATCTTACCCTGTCAAAGTAGGAGAGACATGGGTGTATGTATGTATATGTGGATTTGTGTAGGTATATGTGTGGAAGCTGGTCAGAATTGCATTTCACCTTTGTAAATGCACATTAATGACGCTATGTAAAAAGACATCTCGAACACTGTTTATGTTGGACAGACGTAAATCTGTATATTTATGTCTGTAGGTTAGATTAGCATTTTAAAAGCACTACAATCACCTTCTGTGGTTGATTGTTTAATAAATCACTGAACTATATGTTTAACACATCTCTAACCCTGCCCATGGAGGACAGAAGAAAATGTATATATGCTGGTTAGCATTGTAACTGTGTGGCCACGTCTGTGGTAGAAAATAATAATAAAAAAAAATGTCTACACTCTCCTACGGACGGATGCCCGCCCAACACCATATCATCAGATAAAGTTAACTTTAGTTAGATTAAAGTTAACTTTAATCAATTCATTTAAGTATTCAATTGAATTTATTTCACTATTGTCTAGAAGGTCAGAAATGAGCAAACATAACCAAAGGTCAACCAATATATATTCAATTTGAACCTCGGGTGAAGGATACCCGGAGCCACCCGGGTCTAATACTCACCTAGTTGTGCTTGCGAGGGTTGAGCTTTGGCTCTTTGGTCCCGCCTCTCAACTGTCAATCAACTGGTGTATAGATTCCTGAGCCTATTGGGCTCTATCATATCTACATTTGAAACTGTGTATGGAGTCAGCCTCCACCACATCACTGCCTAGTGCATTCCATCCGTTAACCACTCTGACATGAAAAAAATCTTTCTAACGTCTCTGTGGCTCATCTGGGTACTAAGTTTCCACCTGTGTCCCCTTGTTCGTGTCCCACCCGTGCTGAAGAGTTTGTCTTTGTCCACCCTGTCAATTCCCCTGAGGATTTTGTAGGTGGTTATCATGTCTCCCCTTACTCTTCTGTTTTTCAGGGACGTGAGGTTGAGCTCCTTTAGCCTTTCCTTGTAGTTCATGCCTCTCAGTTCCGGGACGAGTCTGGTGGCATACCGCTGAATCTTCTCTAAACTTTGTCTTGTATTTAGCTAGGTATAGACTCCAGGCTGGAGCTGCATATTCCAGGATTGGTCTGGCATAAGTGGTCTACAGGGTCCTGAACGATTCCTTACACAAGTTTCTAAAGGCAGTTCTTATGTTGGCTAACCTAGCATATGCCGCTGATGATATCCTTTTGATGTGGGCCTCTGGGGACAGGTTCGGTGTGATATCAAACCCCAGATCTTTCTCTCTATTTGACTCTTGCAGGATTTCACCTCCCAGATGGTACCTTGTGTTCAGCCTTCTGCTCCCTTCGCCTAATTTCATTACTTTACACTTTCCTGAGTTGAACTTTAGTAGCCATTTTCTAGACCATTCTTCCAGTTTATCCAGGTTGTCCTGTAGTCTGTCTATCTTCATCTGCCTTGATTCTTCTCATAATTGTTGCATCATCAGCAAACATTGAAAGGAATGAGTCTATTCCCTCTAGAAGATCGTTTACATATATTAGAAACAGGATGGGTCCAAGTACAAACCTATGTGGGACTCCGCTGGTGACATCTTGCAACTCTGATGTCTCCCCCCTCACAGTTACTTGCTGTTTCCTGTTGCTTAGATACTCCCTTATCCACTGGAGCACCTTACCTTTTACTCCTGCCTGGTGCTCCAACTTTTGTAACAG